CTGACCTGTCTTAGGAACTTACCATCAGGCAGCAGTGTGACATGCTGGGCTTCATTTTCACACAGTCATCATTTCAGTCCTGACTTCCAGTTGAACACTCACTAAATATGAATAAGTGAATCTCTGAGTGTGAAAGATATCCACAGGAAGCCTTCTCTTTGAGAGTGCTCTGAAACAGAAAAAGAGTTACATCAAAGTTCCTAGCACTGAGCAATGTTCATAGTAGGTGGTTAGTTAACATTTACTATAGAAATATCTTTATCCTGAGCTACCTTTCTTTCTTTCTTTTTCTTTCTTTCTTTCTCTTTCTTTCTTTCCTTCTTTTTTCTTTCTTTTTCTTTTCTTTTTCTTTCTTTCTCTCTTTCTTTCTCTCTTTCTCTTTCTTTCTTTCTTTCTTTCTTTCTTTCTTTCTTTCTTTCTTTCTTTCTTTCTTTCTTTCTTTCTTTCTTTCTTTCTTTCTCTCTTTCTGTCTGATTGTAAAGTTCCTCTGTGTCCAAAATCCAAACTCCATGCCAGGCTATGATGCCTACCTGTTTCTCCCGATCTGAGAGTACTCCAAACAAGAAGAACAGCTGTGGGAGACTTTTGCACACACACATAGATTCAAGGTAGACATACACAGTCTGCATAAAAATCCTTTCAATGAAAACAATAAAAGGAAAATTGCAGTTTTACTTTTTCCAAGCAAGGGTTAGAGGGAGTAGTCATGATTTAGCAAGTGTCCTTCCAGCCCACATGTTCCTTTTGTAAAACAGTTGTTATGCAATCATACACTATTTCTAAAATTCATATAGAAAAGGTTTTATAGAACTCAATTGCTTTTTAAATTGTCTTGTCCCTTATTCCACATTATTATCCTGATTTATGCATGCGGCACTAATTCATTTGATTTGGCAGATAATCTCATATTACTATATCTCATTGTATTTGCTTCTCCCTATATCAACAGGTATTTAGTTTAGTTTTCCTCCACTTCTCTTTTTATCTGTTTTGCATTAAAAATAATGTTAGAGATAATTAACTTTATAATGGCAGAACCAGAGGCTCTTCTCACAGACTTCTTAGGGAAACAATCATATTTTATAAATCATTATTTACAAAACACAAAAATCTTTGAAATTAGTTCTCTGGCATTCAGAAAATGAAGAAAGTTTTATTCAAGGAAAATCTAGGGCCAGAATGCCCTCATCAGAACCAAGCCAACACAGCTGTGCACTAAGTCAGCCTCTCTCCCTTATGAAGTTCCCCGCCTCAGGTATTTTGTTACAGCCATGGTGAACTGACTAACTCAGCATCTTGGATAATAAGGGTTGTGGAAGGGAGCACAGCAAGCCCAGAGTTTCAAGGATGGTCAGAGAACCCAAACCCTGTGCCCACAAGCAGAAATTTAAGGCCCAAGTTTGAGGAGGGTGGCTCATGTCTAGACAGAAGAGGGAAGTAATGACATAAGTGTTAGAAAGCAGGAGGCGTTGCTAATACTTAGAGCTATTGTGACTGTGGCTGGACAGAGAAGCAGCCTAGCAACTACTGGAGGAAGGAGGACTCAGCAAGGTGGCTCTGGGCTCCAAAATCAATGTCCTCAGAGAACCAGGTTGCCACTGTCTACCAAATGGACTTAGAGAACAAGCAGAAGAAAAGATCAAAGCATTTTCTCTAGCAAACTTGAAAGATGATCAAGCTGGGTCTAGTGATGCACTCCTGTAATCCCAGCACTTGGGAAACTGAGGCAGGAGAATTACTGTGGGTTTGAGGCCAGCCTGGGCTACATAGTGAGTTCAAGGCCAGTCTGAACTACACAGCAAGACCCTTCCTAAAAAAGAAAAGAAAAGAAAAGAAAAATCTAGTAAATCTTGGCAAAAGGAGCTACAGTCTAAGTTGGATCTTGTTTCCTTCCACCCCACCCCCACTTAGTGTGATAGAAACTCAGTTCTAGGCATATGTAGCCAAGAACATTTCCTCTAACTTCCAGATCAAGAATATTTATCTCCCTGAGAGGGATAGGACCTATTTTCATATTTTCTTGGAGCTTACATTTCCCATGGAGCTCCTTACAAAGCTCTGTTTAAGGTAACAGTGCCTGAGTCATACAGGGAAATCCTCCTCCTGTAGCTCCCACTGTGGGTAGTAACATTATCCTATGCCAAGAGGTTGAGAACAGTGGGCCACACTGGTTTCACCTCAGTTCGTCATAAAGAGAATTCCATAACAGGAGAGCTTAGGCCCAAATACCAGACACAAATGTCAAAGACAATAGACATTTTGGAGGTAAATCAAATAAGGGAATATGGGGTAGAAGGTCCACGAAAATAATAGCTCAACTGCAGGCCAGCTGAAAGTTTTCATTGGTCAACAAAGGAAAGAAGCCCGTTCCTGAGGTCAGAAACTCAAAGACCAGCCTCAAAGACTGTATCAGAGAAAGACCCAAAGCCAAATTTGATGACATTGGAAAACTATTAATTTCCCCAGGAATTGTTGAAAATAATGGGTCAATCAGCCAGAAGCTAGTGGAGAGTTACAACAGAATGCAAAACATTCAGGGAGGTGGCTTAAGAGAGAAGAGGAGAAACACAGTGATAGAGGGCTTTACTAAAACCTAGTTCCTGCTGTCTGGTTTACACCCCCAAATCTGTGCCCTGAGGAGCAAGATCAGAATCTTTACAACTGTGAGATAAAGAGGCTAAAATAAATTAGTCAAGCCATTAAGGTCATTAAACAGTGCAAAGAATAAGAACTTTGAGAGGTTGGTGTAATATTAGTAACTATAAGTACTCTAATGTCTAAGATGCATAATTTTTTACAAAAAATAAGTGACATGCAAAGAACTAGAATGGTGTATGATTTGAGGAGAGAAGGGAAAGCAGGAAATTAAAACTACCTTTGAAAGAACATAGATGTCAGATGAGAGAATAAGATAATGAATGAAACTACTTAGTTCTAAGCACATCTGAAGAATTGAAGGACCCATGATTAGCAAAAGAAAGGAAAGGATTCAATAAAGAATATCAGATAAGGTTATGTGGTAGCCAACCTGACTCCATTTTGTTCCTCATCACTGTTCCTCCAATTTTATGTAAAGTTCAGTGATTCTGGATTGTCGCCTCCCCCTCCCTCTTTGGGAGTCCCCTGGATTTATGCCACAACATCCTATTTGGTACAGCAGTCTGCAGCTACATGTTATCTTTATGACCTTGTGAACAGAATAGTCCTCACCTATGTGATATTTTGTTTCAAATAAACTGTGTGAAACATCACCATGACCCCTGTTAACTTAGCAAATTTCTGCTCCTGTAAAATTCCACTTGTGCGTCCCCTCATTCTGAGCCATCCACAACTACAAGAGCTGCTTAAAAGATACCTGCAAACTGCTTTGTGTCATTGAAAGGTTTCCAGCTTCAACTGCTCTCAACTGCCTCAGGGAATAAAAGGACTCAAATTTGGCTCAGAATGTTGTGATTCTCTATAATCTTTCTTGATTTAGTAAAACAATTATTATTATATAAGACTCTGGAATTTCTATATTGAAAATTATACAATAGCTGAAATTTTGAAAATATTTCTAGGGGCTCCACATATTTAAACTGGAAGGGGAAAGAATCAGTAAACTCAAAGAAAGCTCAGTTGAGATTATGCAACCTGGGGGCTGGGGATTTAGCTCAGTGGCTCCACACCTGCCTCACAAGTGTAAGGTCCTGAGTTTGATCCCTGGTACCACCAAGAAATTATGCAACCTGAAACATTTCTACTTTTTTCTGAAAGAATTGTGAAAAGAAGCTCAGACAAATGTGGATCATGAATGAGCATCATTGTGGAAGGACCCTTTTTATACACTTACTGCTTAAAATGGCCATGGGTTGAGGACTGGTACTTGTGTGCAAGGAGCAGATTTGTTTGGAAAGCCAACAAGCCTAGAAGGTGGGAGGTTATGGCCTACAAAGACCATCTACTCACCTAGGTTACAAGAGCCTTTAACTTTTAGGTAATGTTATGGATGAGTGAGTTTGAATAATAGAGATGTGCCACTCTGTGCCAGATTCAAGCCCTTTTATTATACCCAGTGACCAAGGGGGCTAGCCCCCAGAAGTTTCCTCTGCAACGGGAAGCAGTTTGATTTCTCCTTTTAAATCATGCTTTCAGTTGGGGAAGCCTCAGGGGAGAGTGTGAGACCAAAGCGACTCCATTTTGCTAAAATCCACTATTCCCCTAGTCTCTCACAAATTAATGGTTAAAATGTGCTTGCTCTGGGACAGAATATACAATCTGTAATGAAGCAAAGTTCCTGAGTTAACTACTCAGCCATCTGTTTGCCCAGGAAATGAATGTTCCAGGCCCACTATCCATAGAACAATCTGTAGATGTGCTGACTGTCAGTACATAATGGTCGTGACTATTAGTCAGTGTGTCTGCTGACCATCAGTACATGACAGTCGACCACTAACCTTTGTCCCTCTTTTCCCTCATAAAACCTACATATAGCCACCCCTCAACCCCCGATGTACCTAGCCAATCAGAAATGTACACTTCATGCTTGCTAATTGTCAACCAATCATGTAACTGCTAAGTGAAAAATCTCCAAACCTTGCTGTAACCTCTATAAAAACCCTGCTAATTTGAAATTCGGGGCTCTCAATCTCCACCTGCTGCCTCGGTGACAGTTGAGAGTCCCTGCTTGAGCTTGAATAAATGACCCTCGTGTACTTACATCGGGATTGGCTTCCTGGTGGTCTTTGGGACTACGCAATCTGGGCACAACATTTGGGGGCTTGTCTAGGATCCCCAAGACCCTCAGAATTCCCATACCGGAGGGTTGATGCTGGCTGTTGAGTGTTTTTGTGTCTGTAAGGTGTCTGTAAGGTCTGGGGCCCATTTTCTGGGAAGGTCGGCAGAGGGTCTAGGCAGATGCGCTGTGAGGGCCGCTGACCCAGGATCCTGGAAGACTTTCCGGGTCCTTCAGGAGGGGACAGAGTGCCCTGTGAGTACGAGTCTGTGAGACTCATAGAGGGATGGTGTGGGTCGCTCCCGCAGCACAGCGTGAGGCCATCGTCCCACTTTTGGTTTTGCCTCCGGTCAGGCAGAGGATGGGTTTGTCTTGTTTTTTGTTTTTCTGTTGTGTTTGTTTGTCCGTTTATTGTGTTGACTTGGACTGAGATGATGGGACAGACTGTGACTACCCCTCTATCCCTCATGAAGAACCATTTCAAAAAGGTTAGGGAGTGCACTCATAACCTAAGTTTAGAAATTAAAAGGACTAAATTCATCACCCTCTGTAGCTCGGAGTGGCCCACCTTTGGGGTAGGATGGCCACCCGAGGGGACCTTTGATCTAGGGACCACGAAGAGAGTCCAGGAGGTCATCTTCCATTCTCATACAGGACACCCTGATCAAGTTCCCTACATTGTCACTTGGGAGAGTCTAATCTGCGACCCACCCCCATGGGTCAAGCCCTTTTTGCCTCCACAGAAACAGCAGCTGGAGGTAATCCTGACAGGCTGTGAGAAGACTCCCAGACAGCGTGACAAAAAAAGGCAAACCGAAACCAAGCCGACTGCTCCGCTTTATCCGGTCCTCCAAGGAGGAACCGAGGAAGATCTCATTTTTCCCCCCCTTACTCTCTTCTCCTCCAAAACAGCAGGCAGAAAGAGAGGACCCAGCCCCAGCTGGAGCTGGGGAAGGAGGGCCGGCCCCGGGTGCCTGCAACTGTTGTGGCTCCACCCAGAACACTCGCCACCGGTGTGCTACCTCGCCGGCAGGCCCGGCAGACTCTACTGTTTGTCCGCTGAGAGTGATAGGGCCCCCTGATGAGCATGGTAACTAGCATCATCATTACTGGCCCTTCGCCACCAGTGACCTTTATAACTGGCCTACTCAGCATGCCAAATTCTCTGATAACCCTAGGGATTTGATTAACCTATTAGAAACTGTCTTGTTCACTCATCAGCCCAGTTGGGATGATTGTCAGCAGCTCCTCCAGATCCTGTTTACCACAGAGGAGCGAGAGAGAATCCAAAATGAGGCCAGAAAATTGGTTCCTGGCGACAATGGTCAACCCACCACCAATGTTGACACTATCAACATTTCTTTTCCTTTGTCTCGGCCTGACTGGGACTTCAACATGGCAGAAGGTAAGGAGGGGCTCTGGGTCTATCGCCAGGCTCTGTTGGGGGGGTCTCAAAGCAGCTGCTAGAAAGCCCACCAATTTGGCTAAGATAGGGGATGTACAGCAGGAGCCGAACGAAAGCCCTGCAGCCTTCCTAGAAAGAATTCAGGAAGCCTTCTGTAGGTATACTCCTATGGACCCAGAAGCAAATGAGACAAAGGCAGCTGTAATAATACATTTTGTCAACCAGGCGGCTCCAGATATTAAGAGAAAGTTACAGAAAGTAGACAGATTAGGAGAAAAGAGTATTCAGGACTTAGTGACAGTGGCAGAGAGAGTGTATAACAACCGGGAAACTGCAGAGGAAAGACAGGTGAAAGCTAATGACTGCCAGACTAGAAACCTGGCTCGGATTCTTCTGGCCACCACTGTGGGAGAGCTGAAGGAACATGAAGGTCGTCTGAGAAAAATTGTGGTAGAAAGAGAAGGTAAGGAGAAATGCAGGGAGCACCCCCGGTTGGGAAAAAAATCAATGTGCTTACTGCAAAGAGGAAGGCCACTGGGCCAAAGAGTGCCCCAAAAGACAACAGGAAAGTCGCCCCAAGACCCCCATCCTGGCTATAGATGAACTGAGTAACTAGGGGGGACAGGGTTTGGCACCCCTCCCCGAGCCCAGGGTAACCCTAAAAGTGGAGGGGAGACCTGTCGAGTTCCTACTAGATACAGGAGCTCAACATTCAGTCCTACTTGAACCTCATGGCCATGTTTCTGACAAAACTTCCTGGGTTCAAGGAGCCACAGGCATGAAAAAGTATTCATGGACTACCCAGAGAACGGTGGACTTGGGAGTGGGCCGGGTAACCCACTCATTTATTATTATACCAGACTGCCCCTACCCTTTGTTGGGAAGAGACTTGCTCACTAAATTAGGGGCCCAAATCCATTTTGAGCCCAGGGGCGCAGAGGTCCTTAACCAAGAGGGAAAGCCCATCCAAGTGTTGACCATGGGGCTAGAGGATGAGTATCTGCTACACCAGAAACAGTCCCCTCCTGATCCTGACATGAAACAATGGCTTGCCATGTTCCCGCGAGCATGGGCTGAGACTGGGGGCATGGGGCTGGCTGCACACAGGACACCTGTGTTCGTAGAGATAAAGCTAGGAGCAGACCCTGCACGAGTTCGCCAATATCCCATGTCCCTAGAGGCCCGCGAAGGGATAACTCCGCACATCAGAAAGTTGCTGGCTCAGGGTATTCTGAGGCCCTGCCAATCTGCCTGGAACACCCCCTTGTTGCCGGTGCAGAAACCTCACTCAAATAACTATTGACCAGTACAGGACCTCTGTGAGGTGAACAAGAGGGTCATAGATATCCACCCTATGGTGCCTAATCCATACACCCTTCTGAGCTCACTTCCCCTGAGCCATCAATGGTACATGGTCTTAGACCTCAAAGATGCTTTCTTTAGCCTTCCACTGGCACCTAGAAGCCAGCATATCTTTGCATTTGAATGGAGTGACCCGGAACAAGGCCTCAATGGACAGTTGACCTGGACCCAGTTACCTCAGGGGTTCAAAAATTCTCCCACCATCTTCGACGAGGCCCTGCGTGAAGACCTGGGTGAGTTCTGCCTCCAAAACCCCTAATTGACTCTGTTACAATACGTAGATGATCTCCTTATAGTGGCCGAGATGCAAGAGGACTGCCTAGATGGAACCAAGAAACTCTTAACTGTTATAGGGGAACTGGGATACTGGACGTCTGCCAAAAAGGCCCAAATCTGCAGACCTGAGGTAAGCTACCTGGGGTACATACTTAAAAAGGGGCAAAGATGGTTATCGGATGCTAGGAAAGAGACGGTTCTTAAGATACCTACACCAGATTCCCCTCAGAAAGTTAGAGAGTTCTTGGGATCGGCTGGCTTCTGCCGCTTATGGATACCAGGATTTGCAGAGCTTGTGAGGCCCCTTTATGAGGCAACTAAAGACAATCAGGCCTTTCAATGGACAGAAAAACTACAAGAGTTCTTCAACCAAATTAAGGCTGCCTTGTTGTCAGCACCAGCCTTGGGCTTGCCTGATGTTACTAAGCCCTTCCACCTCTACATTGATGAGAACAAAGGAGTTGCCAAGGGTGTCCTAGTCCAATACCTAGGGCCATGGCACCACCCAGTGGTGTACCTATCAAAAAACTCGATCCAGTTGTGTCTGGATGGACCCCATGTTTGAGGATGATCGCAGCAGTGGCCCTGATGGTCAAAGATGCTGACAAGTTGACATTAGGCCAAGAACTGTGCGTGACCACCCCTCACGCTATTGAGGGAGTCCTAAAACAGCCTCCGGATCAATGGCTCAGTAATGCCCGCCTGACCCACTACCAGGGCTTACTTCTAAACCCAACCCGAGTTGTTTTTCAGACCCCGGCTGCCTTAAATCCAGCTACACTGTTGCCAGACCCGGACTTAGAAACTCCACTCCATGACTGTGCTGATATCCTAGCTCAGGTACATGGGACTCGAGCTGATCTGAGAGACCAGCCATGGCCAGATGCTGAAAATACCTGGTATACTGATGGGAGCAGCTTTGTTCAGGATGGCCGCAGGTACACTGGGGCAGCTGTGGTGATGGAAACTGAGGTCATTTGGGCGAAACCATTGCCCCCCTGGGACCTTGGCACAATGGGCAGAGCTCATAGCTCTGACCAAAGCATTGACTCTAGGACAGGGCCAAAAGTTAAACATATATACAGACAGCTGGTATGCCTTTGCCAGCGCGCACATCCACGGGGCCATCTACAGGGAGAGAGGACTATTGATGGCCGAGGGGAGGACTATCAAAAACAAAGAGGAGATCCTTGCCCTTTTGACGGCCCTCTGGCTACCAAAGAAATTGGCCATTATTCATTGCCTAGGACACCAAAAAGGTGACACTCCGGTTGCTAGAGGACATAACCTAGCTGATCAGACAGCCTGAAAAGTAGCCCTAGAGGCTAATTTAACCTTAACCAATCAGCTGCCCGATCCAGGAAGTGCTGCCTTGCCAGAAAAACCTCAGTATACTGAAGAAGATTTAAAGTGGGTAAAACAATTACCTATGCCCCAGTGCCTCAACGGGTGGTGGAAATCCTCTGATTGTAAAGTCATCCTGCCTGAAGCACTGGGAGAACAAGTTCTCTCCAAAATGCACTGGGCCACCCACATGGGCACTCGAAAGATGCAAGACCTCCTGAGACATGCTGAAATAAAGATTCGAGATGCTAACTCCAAAATTGAGTGCATCATTGCCACCTGCAAAGCCTGTCAATTGACAAATGCTACCCACTATAAAACCAACCCAGGCAATAGGCTGAGAGGGAACCGACCTGGAGCATACTGGGAATTGGACTTCACTGAGGTAAAACCTGGAAGGTATGGTTATAAGTACCTACTAGTTTTTGTAGACACTTTTTCAGGATGGACAGAAGCTTTCCCTACCAAACATGAAATGGCATGCATAGTGGCCAAGAAACTGCTAGAAGGCATCTTGCCAAGGCCTCCAATTTGTTCATGAGGACGTCTGGCCTAAATTAAAAGCTCTGTATGAGTCTGGACCACCTCCTGAGGCCCATCGCTACCGACCAGGAGACTGGGTCTTTGTCCAGAGACATCGACAGAAGGACCTTGAACCTCATTGAAAAGGACCCTATGTTACTGTCCTGACCATGCCCACCACTCTCAAGGTCGACAGGATTGCCTCATAGGTACATTACACTCACGTCTGCTCCACAGATCCACATGCCATTCTAGAAGACTTCATCCCATCATGGCAGGTGTCCAAGGACCACGACAACTCTCTCAAACTCAAACTGCATCGTCAACGGTCATAATTATGGTAACTGTACTCTTAACACCAGTGTTGGGAAGACAGAACCCACATGCTCCCCTGAATTTAACTTGGATGATCATTAGTACATCCACGGGTGACATTGTCAACAGTACATCTAAAGTGATGCCACTGCTGACCTGGTGGCCCACCCTTGACTTTGATCTGTGTCGACTTGCTGCAGGGACCTGGACCATCAGAGACTGGGAAATCAGACCCGGGGGAAAGCCCATATGTAAAGCAGGTACCAACAAATGCGATAAAGTCTGACACCCCCTTGGGTGTCCCTACCCATGTTTCCAAAAAGATTAGACTCTGGGTGTGGCCAACCCACTGAGAGAAATGTTTTGCGAAACACCCCTTTCTATGTCTGCCCGGGAGAAGGACACTCATGGTCTCAAGCGGAAAAGTGTGGAGGGATTGATGAGTTCTATTGTGCAAAATGGGGATGTGAGTCCACGGGTACCGTCTCATGGGCTCCACCTGTCACAAGTGATTTAATCTCTTTAAAAAGAGTCCCTGGGTCCCCTGGCCTTCAAACAAGCTGCAGTAATGGTAACATCATGGTCCTTAGCGGTCCATGTTCAGAGTTCCTCTGTAACCCAGTCAGACTTTCATTTACCGACCAAGGTAAACAGTACACTAGGTGAGAAAAAGTTCGGACATGGGGGCTCCACCTATATCAAGATGGTCATGACAATGGGTTACTATTTACTGTGAGACTAAAAATAGAGCCACATGTCATCGTGGGGCCTCCTCAGCCAATTGGGCCAAATTTGGCCCTAGTTCCTCTGGCTCCTCCTAGACCCACCAAGCCCCCTCCCCAGGGAACCTCACCCACTCCTCCCAAGCCTCCACCCACATCCCAGCTCCCCTCTCAGGCTGCCACCCAGGCCAAAAAAGTCAACCACAACCAAGACCAGGACCCCCTCTGGGGACTGATGGTCCACACCTTCAAGGCCGTAAATGCCTCCAGACCAGATCTTACTCAGTCTTGTTGGCTGTGTTATGACATTAAGCCCCCTTATTATGAGGGAATAGCTTTCTCAGAAAACTTCACTGAGTCAGATAGTCCAACCCAGTGTAGATGACAACAAAAGGGGACAGCCAGGCTGATCCTACAATCAGTGACTGGACAAGGAACTTGTGTTGGCAGTGTCCCGACCACTCACCAACACCTTTGCAATCAAACCTATCAGTCTAGGTCAGAAAAATATTTTGTACCCCCTTCTGATGGATGGTGGGCTTGTTCCACAGGGCTTACCCCTTGCCCACATGGGAAGGTGTCAACCAGACAGGAGACTTTTGTGTGCTAGTGCAATTAGTTTCTAGACTATTATATCACTCGGAAGAAGATATTTTCAATAGCTTGATTGAGTTCTCAGCCAGAGTTAAACAAGAGCCTATGACAGCCATCACTTTGACAGTTCTCTTAGGTTTAGGATTAGCTGGGGCAGGAACAGGGGTCTCATCATTAGTGTTACAAAATAAAAATTACAATGATTTGAGAGCAGCCATAGACATAGATATTGAGAGGCTAGAAAGCTCTATCTCCCACCTGCAAGAGTCTCTAACCTCCCTGGCAGAAGTGGTCCTCCAAAACCGAAGGGGGCTAGATTTAATTTTTCTTCAACAGGGAGGACTCTGCCTTGCCTTAGGTGAAAAATGTTGTTTCTATGTAGACCACTCAGGGGTGGCCAAAGAATCTATGGCCAAAGTTAGAGAGGGTATCGCTAGGCGAAAGCGAGAATGAGAACAAACTCAAAATTGGTTTGAATCTTGGTTTAATTCCTCCCCATGGCTAACTACTCTGATATCTACCCTACTGGGCCCCTTGCTTATTCTGTTACTACTGTTAACCCTTGGGCCTTGTATACTCAATAGATTAGTTTCATTCATTAGAGAGTGCATTAATACTGTACAGCTAATGGTACTCAGGTCCCAATACCAGCCAGTTTCTACAGACCTAATAGAATTAACCCCCAGAGGCCCATGATTGGTCCTCTATAGCATCATGAGAAGGGGGAAATGTGAGACCAAAGCGACTCCATTTTGCTAAAATGCACTATTCCCCTAGTCTCTCACAAATTAATGGTTAAAATGTGCTTGCTTTGGGACAAAAGATACAATCTGTAATGAAGCAAAGTTCCTGAGTTAATTACTCAGCCATCTGTTTGCCCAGGAAATGAACGTTCCGGGCCCCTATCCATAGAACAATCTGTAGATGTGCTGACTGTCAGTACATAATGGTCGTGACTATTAGTCAGTGTGTCTGCTGACCATCAGTACGTGACAGTCGACCACTAACCTTTGTCCCTCTTTTCCCTCGTAAAACCTACATGTAGCCACCCCTCAACCCCCGATGTACCTAGCCAATCAGAAATGTACACTTCACGCTTGCTAATTGTCAACCAATCATGTAATTGCTAAGTGAAAAATCTCCAAACCTTGCTGTAACCTCTATAAAAACCCTGGTAATTTGAAATTCGAGTCTCTCAATCTCGACCTGCTGCCTCGGTGACAGTTGAGAGTCCCTGATCAAGCTTGAATAAACAACCCTCATGTGTTTACATTGGGATTGGCTTCCTCGTGGTCTTTGGGACTGTGCAATCTGGGCACAACAAGAGCAAGCAGAATAATACAGAAGCAGAACCATGCCAGGTTAGTGGGAGGCAGAAGGAAAATTCACACACACTAGGTGAGCTACAAAATATCCCGCAACTGCAGCAAGTTTGCTGTAAAGAAGGATGTGGGGTTTTGGGGTGCTTTGTTCAAGCACAAGCACTTTGTTCAAGCACAGGTAAAAAAATGGCATTGACAGACAATATGGAATCAGGTTGGCTATCACATTGCCAACTCATTTAAACATGATATCAAAGCATTGAGTCAACGAGAGAATCTTGATTGGGCAGGGGATTATACAAAGGATTGTAGTAGGAGCTCATACACATCCGTTTAACACAGGCTATGTGCTGTTTTACAAAGTTGATTATCTAATTAAGAATACAAGGGCCAATCATGAGCCTGAGAGAAAGCAGGATGAGGGTATCAGCCAGTCCAGTGATAAGGCTAGTTACCCATGTGCTTCAACTCAACAGGTTATGATACCATGAGGTTTTACTTTCCTTCTTCTGACATCTATCTAGATTTTCCTTGACCTTTTGAAGGGTATCGTGGATTACACCACACTTGTTGGCACAGAAACAACATGCCTCCCCTAGAGCAGCACATAATCTTCCTTTTGACAAGAGCACTAGATCAAGCCCCCTTTGCTTCTGGAGGACCACATCAGCTAGTGACTCTACGTGGGAGTGAAGAGTCTCAACAGCATATTGCAGACTTCCTAGGTCAGTGTCTACCTGTTATGCCAAAGCTGAGAGTCCTAGTTCTCCTCTAGCTAATATGACAGTTCCAAGTGTCACTGAGCCAGCTGCCCCAATCCCAAAAAATTTGGAATGGGTATGGAGGTTGCTCACTTCTGTCTACACAGTAGCACTGGGTGTGTTATGAAATCCCATCCCTGTGTCCTCCGTACACATAAACTTGAGGAAGAATTCGCACCAGGATGCACAAGACTCCAGGTCTAGTATCTCCCTCAGGTATTCTGACACACTTAGTGAGTCCAGAGGTACAAGCTAGCCAAGTGCCATTAGGGCCAATATAAGCCTTCAAGGTCTCCCAAATCACAGTTTGGCTACACACAGCATGGAAGGGGATGTTACTCATATCATAAGAAGAAGTTATATTTCCATAAACCACCAATGGTCAAGGGGGGCTTTGCAGAAGTGCACGCTAAGGCAGTATTTGAGGCTCTGATTGAGCCCAAGACTCCCACACCCACATAATAAGGAGGCTTTGCTCTTAGAGCCAATAGTCCTGAGTAAGGTATGGTTGAGTCAGGTTTAAAATGGTGTGGATGGCTCCACACATGAAGAATAGGAAGGGAGGTAGTACATGTGTGTGTGGGGGGGGGGGTCTGCTATATTGGTAGCTAAGAGCAGACACTTTGAAGAGTGATAACAGGGTGAGGCTCAAATAAGGGGCCCTTTACTTTCATTAAGGGTCCTATTGGCTGTGTTGGTGCTTGGCTTAGCAACTGGTTTTGAAAGGTAACAATTTCACCTGGATCAGGAATTAGTCCTCCAGGGAGCCAGAAGTGGAATCCCCAATTACATCCTGTGGCCCATTTAGCATCCTGGGGCCAATGTATCAGAATCATGATTCAGCACCAATGTTTCCAAACTATGATGTCATTAGTGACAATTGGTCCCCCATTATAGGAGGCAATCTTTACACAGCCCCAGTTTGGGCAGTAGAAGTCAGTTGGGCACCCACAATCCTGCTGTCTGAATAGACTGAACCCTGGGCATGCATAAAAGTCACAGCTTCCCAGGTTTATGAACTGATAGTAGTAGCTTCCCCTGTCTCTCCTAAATTACAGAGATTGACCTCAGGCAACCTGAGAGGTTGCTGGGGGCAAATGGTACCAAAAGTGACATTACCTAGAATTTCTCCTGAGCGAAAGAGGTGAGGAGAAAGGAGTAAAACTCTCATCATTGGATTTCCCTATAGGTCAGCCTAGTCAGCCCAAAGACAATAAGAACAAGTGTCACAATCATGATTGGATTAGCCTTACCTTTAAAGGATCAGGTCTCAGCTCAGCTTGACACATGAATGGTGAACCTACT